ATATATATATATATATATATATATATATATATATATATATATTACTTTGGACCTTTCCATTAAAATGAAGATGGTAAAGTCAGAAAAACTCTGGCATGACTACTATCTATGCTGATGGTGCAGAGGACAGATGAGAATGAAAACAACAGGCAGGGCAGCAGCAGGAGCTCCATCCACACCCGCAAGCTGTGCGGCCAGGAGGTGCCTACCTGCTCTAGGTGCAGTGGGGCGAGCATCAGCATGGTAGGGTCCCCTTCCAGCCCCGTCTGGACGAACACTTTCTTAAACATTTCCTTGAATTCCACGTAGGCACCCAGGTAAGGTGCGGGCACATGGCACAGTTTGTGCTCTTCCAAGTAACAGGCTAAGGTTGCACACGTTTCTTTTCCACACCCATCAATTCCAATCTTCGAAGAAAAAAAATCCAACATATGATTCCTGTATATTTTCTGGGATTTAGTTTTCTGTTTATCTGTGCTGGAGATTTTGACAATAAACATTTCAGGTCATAAGGCATTCGTCCAGGTCCCTGTGTTTTTACCTGAAGACCTCTTAGTTGTGTCCAGTATTTGCTGATCATGAATAAGGTTGATGTCATCATTCATTGGAGGATTCTGTGTGGGCCTACGTTTTCAGTTCAGTTGGGCACATATGTAGCTGCCCGGTTGCTGGGTTGCTCAGCTTTGTGAGACACTGCCGAGAGCAGGCGTTGTAAGAGAACCTGCGCTCCCGCATCTCCTGTGTCCTTGTGTACACAGTGGCCCTGTGCTCACGGACACGTCCCCTCAGCCTCTCTGCCTGCGTGGTGCTGCGAGGCCACACACTGTGCTGCTGCCAGCCTCTCTGATCCCTCTAGCTACGGGAACACATGTTTACTGTGCAAGTTACCAGGCCCAGGTATTTTGTTGTAATTACTCCAAATGGACTGTTTTAATTTTTAATTGCATAATGATCTTTTAATTGCAAATGATCTTTTGATTACACTTACCTCCACTCCTTCTCCGCCCCCCTCCCTCTCTTTTGGCTCTCTGCTGGCTTGGGGCAGACTGGCAGACTGCACACATCCCCCCAAGTCTTTAATTTCGGATCATTTTACATCTCTGAATCTTATTAAGAACATACATTTAGAGTTTGTTCTTTTTATGCTGTGGTTTTAAGATCTCTCCCTTTTTGAATATTTGATGCATTTCGATTGATGTTGTGATTGATATAGTTTGACCTTTTCCCACCTCTTTGCTGTTTTCAGTGTTTCATTTCCTTTTTTCTTTGTTTTTCCTTCATTATATTAATTTTTAGGGTTCTACTTTAATTTTTCCTTTTTTATATGTTTATATTTGGGTTCTCTATGTGAGAAGATTAAATTTAAGCTCTGTCCTTTTACTAAACCTCAAGGAAATTATGCAGTGTCACGGTATAGATTAGAGCTCTGGGTCTTACTCATCTTGCATAACTGGATGACACTTTATAAATTAGTTTATGGCAATCTACTTCAGATGAATACAAGTTTAATTCTAGTTAAGTCAATAAGGTTAGTTCCAATAAAGCTCTGTTTCCTCTGTCTTCTTTTATTTTTGAAACCTCTATTACCTCTTCGTATTCTATAGAACTAACAATAATTTTTATAATTATTTTGTGCGGTTATCTTTTTTATAATTCCTGGAAATACTAGAATTTGAGCTGTGGGCTTTGTGCTTGCTACCACTTGAGTCACATCTCTAGCACTTTTTCACTCAATTATGTTTAAGGCAATTAGGAGAAAAGAGTAAAATATTTTGGTAGGCAGATCCCGAAACCTGTCAAGGACAAGAGAGACTTTGCAGGTGTAATTAAAGGCCAAGGATCTTGAAAACTTGCAATGTGAGATTACCCTAACTCATCTGGTGACTAACACACCTATACTGAGGGCAAAGCCCTCTCCTGGCTGTGGCCAGGGAGGGTGAAGAAGGTAAGGGGGGGTGGCTGCTGGAAACACAAATGCAGCTGAATGGATTCTCCTTGGAGTCTCCAGGCCTCATCTGCAGGTGACATACTCATGGAGAACAGAAGAAATGGGGAAATTCAAAATAATAAATGGCTCAGCAATGAGACCCAGGAAGTATAAACTGAAGGCTCAGAAAAGCACTCTCCCCTCCTACTGTGTGCTTTTAGGGGCCAGCGACAAGAATAGGAGGAACACAAGGTCTATTTACGTCTCCCTTCTCCCTGAGAGGTCAAGAAGCCCACACTCTGCATGAGTGCATGGCCAGAACTTGCAGGCACATCTGGCAGGGGAAGTCTTAACGTTCACGTATCATCCCTGTGTTCTGAGCGGGCACAGGTCACTTCTCCACATCTTTTTTTTTTTTTAATTTTAAATGTGTTTATTTGTTAAAGAAGAAATTTACATTCCATCACTATCCTCATTTCCTGGTTTTTCTTTTTTTTAATTTTATTTTATTTTATGTGTGAACATACTGTACAGAGGGGTTACAATTACAAGGGCAGGATAGTGCGTACATTTCTTACCAAGCATTGCAGCCTCCTCCTTTGTTTACCCTTCCCATCCCTCTTCTCCACATCTTGAGATGAACAACAGCACCCATATTGGCCATTAACAAAATAAATCTTTTTAGCTAATTTTGTTGCATGTCAATTTAAATAAAGGTTGTTTGTTTATTTACTTATTTCAACCACTGGAAAGGAATCCATGGCTTTATCACTTGATTTATGCTTCTGCCCTTTTTGTCTTTGTTTTTGAAGCAGGGTTTCACTCATTTTGTCCAGGCTAGCCTTAATTCCTGACTCTGCCTCCACCTCTGAGCAGCTGGGATCACAGGTGTGCTACCCTTTAAATCAAGCTCTGCTTCAAGGGGGAGGTCTAGCAACATAAAACATAGACATCAAATAACAAGTTGTTTATAAATATGCTGGAATTTGCTTAGTTTTCCAAATATATATATATATATATATATATATATATATATATAT